CTGCTCTGGGGGAGGGCTGAGGCTGTCTGCAGGGGGGGCAGGCCTACGGGGTCCTACAGGCTCAGTCACCTCAATGGGACAACTGGGGGTGCTATTACCATTCCACAAGCTTCAGGGTAGTGCCAACAGCTAAGTCCGAACGCCTGGTGGTTCGAACCTGCCCAGAAGGACCTGGTGCTGATGCCCAAAATTCACAGCCTCGGGAGCCCAGGTACAGCTCTGTTCAGACGCAAGGGCTGCTCCTCAGCAGAACCACAGCCCCGTGGGGCACACAGGGACCTGGGTCTGAGTGCCCTCCACACAGAGCTAGCCTTGCACCCACCTCTGCCCCAGGCCTTGTGTCCAGCCAGTCCACAGGGCGATTCCGTGTGATGGCCGGACCCCAGGCCTGGGGACTCTAGGGGTGCTGACCCACTGAGCACCAGGCCCTGTGCACTCAGGTTTGTACTTGCATGGGAAAGGGGCTCCTGTCAGCTTCCTTTGTCACCCCCCGGGGGGTAAGGGGTGGTGATGGTCACCCTAATTCAACGTAGCATCCCGTTTCCTTTCTGTCCACCTTGTTGGTGCACCCTGAGTCCTTCCCTCGCCCCCCCATCCCCCAGAGATGGACGCAGTCACTTCGAGACTTCTATATATATTTACTGTGCATACAAACAGACTTCATATTCTATACGGACACCCCTGGCCTCCCAGCATCCACAGTCCAGACACGGCCACCGTCTTCTGTAGTTCCCCTTGTCATCCTGCGGGGAGCCCGGTGGTGCTGGGTTACAAGCTCCGGTACCCAGGGACAGTTCCTGTCCTGCAGGGTCACTGGGAGTCGTAGTGGATCCGATACCCCAGGCTCGGACTTGGTGACAACACCACTTAAACAATCGTCAAATCAAGACAGGGGCAAGACACAACGAATGCCCTGGTGGCGCAGTGGCTGAAGTGCTCAGCCACCAGTGCTGTGAGCAGGGGTGGGGTGGGTTTTCAGGTCCTTGGTGAACTGGTAACAGCAGCCGGCCCACCCCACATGCAAGCTGGGCCGTGGGCCGTGGGCTGGGTGCGTACAATCTGGGCGAGCCTGCTAACCTCAGCGGCAGAGCCGCGGTGCACATTCCACCTGGCCCCTTGGTCCCAAGGCGGCTCCCGGGCAGATGCCCCGCCTGGGCGGGTAACAAGCGGTTCCCGGGGCAGGCTTCCCTGTCTGGTCTCCTGGCTGCGTACCGAGGAATTAGGAATTGGCACTGTCTGAAATTTATGAAAATCTAATCTCGTTAGGCTGGCTGGATGAGACAGACCAGGAGACCTCATTGTCTGTCATTCGAGGGGCCCCCGAGGCGAGGCGGCCCAGGGCTGCCAGCCACCTTGCTCCTGCCCCTCCCCCACCTCGAGTGGGTCTGAATAAAAGCCGAGCCTTGGGGAGCTCCCCACTCCACTCGCCACCCGGCTTGCATCAATGGCAATGGAACCAGGGGGCAAAGGGGCGCTTTCTGCCCCTAGAGCCACTTCCATCCTTGACCACCAGCACAGCTTTTCCCTGGGACAGGAGCTTGG